AAGGAATTAGTTTCTCTCTTGATTTTGAAGAACAACTGTTTAGCTAATGTTATAATGTTCTTAGACTTGAGGGAAAACGAATTAAATCAAAGGAGGTGTAAAGATATATAGCTACAAAAGTTATCCTTGTCACATGGGCAGATGTCACCAAAAGGGGATGCCCAAACAAATAGATGGCTGCCCAAAAAGCATACATATATAACAATATTTACTTTATACCCACACTTCCAATGTATAAGTAAGTATAATTAAATAATTACGCAAATACCCCCATACAATACCTTAATTTACGATAACAATTACGCTAAGCAAGTTTGCAAAATCACAACATTTCAAGTTCCAAAAATGAGAATAAAACATATTCTAGTAATTACGAGATGATGTAACGACATGCGACTATTTGTTTAAGCATTTAGGAGTGTTACAGGAAGAACGAGTCAAAGCAAAAGAAGGCCCTAAGTCTGTGAAGAAATCACCTGTGGAAAGGGATAGGGTGACTAAAAAGGCCACCTCTAAACCAAAATCTGGTAAGGAACCAGGTCCGACCGCTCAGAAGCAAGTTAAGGGTAGGGTGTTGATAAGAGAAGAGCGTGTTGCCGAACTAGAAAATCAAAAGGTGTTAAACGGGAGGGTGTTTGATCCGGACATTCTCAGAGAACATGTTATGCTACTCTTTTTTATTATGTGTCCCTACAAAGTTGGGAACACCTGTTTGAAGGTCCAGCACCTTATTTGCAAGAGCCAGAAGTGTGGGAATTCTATTACAAAATGGAGCTCCTCGATGATGGAGGCATCCAAACAACAGTTCGGACGGTAAAGATCTCTCTGAATGGAGAAAGCTTGGGAATCATTTTGTGTGTTCCTTCAATAGGGATCCGGTCCATTAAAGGTTGCAAACCTTCTAGTGATTTTGTTCAAAGGGCTACCAAGCGTGGGGACATAAAACGTGTTGGTCTACCTAAGAAGTTCCTCAAAGGAGAGTATCAGTTGATGTTTGAGTTCATTAACAAGGTCTTGGTGCCAAGGAGTGATCGAGAATTGTAGCCTCTGCTGCAGTTCTGTTCCTCATGAAACAATTGGATGAACTCGAGAATATCAACCTTCTTTCAATTATGCTTGAACACATGCACAGGGTAATGACTTGGGAAAATGCCAAACATGGCATACCTTATGGGTACCTACTAAACTATGTGTTTGAACACTTTGGAGTACCTCTTGGCAGGGGAGTACTAGTACTGTGAAGAAAAGGTTCTCTCCTGCAACCCTCCTTAAATGTGAATGTGCTGAGGGAAAAGTCAAGGGTAAGTCTCATGTGTCTGATCTTTTTAAGCAGTAAGAATCTCTCAAGCGGGAGCTAAATGATCTTACAGTAACCTTGAATGCCAAGGAGGTCGTGATTGCACGACTTAAGGCTCAGATGCAGCAGAACATTTCTAAGGGACCTGGTACCAGTACTGAGAGTAAGGAGGAAGTCAAAAAATTAAGAGTTGAAAATGCCCAGCTGCCAAAGACAAATGCCTCACTCACTGAAGAAGTTCAGCCTCTCAACAAGCAACTACTCCAGGCTCACATCGATGCTAATAATCACATGACCCTGTTGTTGCGGTCCTTACCTCCTCATTCCCATCCGTCCTAAATAGAGTCTATAGGTCTAGATGTTCTTAAGTCCTCCCTTATCCTGGCTGTTTTTCCCGTTTTTAGTGGCATGTGTACCGTTTGGCTGAACTATGTGGTCAACATCAGTGATCTAATGAAATCATCTCATTTTACCCTGTTTGGTATGATTTTATCTTCTCTAGTATGGCTTACTTGTGCATGTACTGTGTGGCCCATGGCCCTGAGTTTTTAACTTTTTTTGCTTGCAGCTCGTATATGTTTACTGTCACTCATTTTCAATGATGTCAAAAAGGGGAATTGATTATAAACAACCTGGGTGGAATTAAAGGAGTAGAGGAGTTTGTTGATAGAGGGAACTGATATGATATGTGGATTAGATGAGATTGTAGATAGGGGAACTGATGTGATCTGTGGTGAGTTTGTCGAAGGGGGAACTGGCATATTGAATGAATGTTGAACTCTTGTGGGGTAGCTTGCTTGTCATCATCAAAAAGGGAGAAAATGATAAGTCTTACTGCTTCTGGATGTTTTGATGATCCTCACAAATGCAGGGACCTGGTCCTCTACAGAGTGTTCTCGTCTAGGGAAGTGTGCTACAGCTGGAAAGTTGTCTTGTCAAAGGTTGGTGAGGCGTCAGCGTACTACACCAATTAGAATGGACGAGGTTGTTTGTCCAACGGTCAATAATTCTTTTTGGTTGATTTAATCAACATGACAAACAACAAATTGACTCATTCATTCAAAGAGAGAAAACTCAAGCTTCAACAACACAACAAGGAACCTCATAGACTGAAGATTTGCTTCCTGAACCTGTTGTTATTTTGATTGCTTGTATTTGTGCTTAACTTGTAGGATTCGTTTCACCTTGTTAAGAAACATTTCAAAACCCTGTGTGAATCATTGTAAGAACATAGTTGAGGGCAACTTTGTGTCTTACGGAAAAATCTATATTAATCAGTGAAGGTTAGTATAGTGGGCAATGCAAGCATTGCTTAGGCTCGTTAAGTAATAAGGTGTATTACTTAGTATTGAGATTAGGAGGTTAATCTTAGTATATGGTTGTAAACTGTGTTTTGCTTTTGCTTGTGAAGATTAGTGAAAATAGTTTGGAAATCTTGTAAGATAGGTCGTGGTTTTACTCCCTTGAGTAAGGAGGTTTCCACGTAAAGTATTGTGTGTTCTTTCCATTTCCAGCATTTACATTTATGTGCTTTATCTGTGTGAAAGACCAGGTCCTATCGTAGTTAGTGGACGCATACATTACATCACTACGCTACTTTAAGTAGGGACTAATCGCTCTTTAGCTAATTCTACTATGCATGGAAGAGTACTTCTTTACTAGTCCAAGACAAGTCATTACCCATGAATAGTTACTATTTACCAATTCAAGGCTACCAAGGAAAAGCACCTCATTATGCTAGACCAAGCTATCGTGGAGGCGTCCTCTCATGCAAGTCCAAGCTACTCAAGGACGGGTACTATTGCTCAATCCAAGCTACTAATGAAATGGTTTAGCCTTACCAAGTCAAGCTATCATGCAAGCATCCTCTCATGCTAGTTCAAGCTAACCATTGGAAGAGTATCATTGCTCAATCTAAGGCTATATATCCATGAGGTCTACTAACTCAAGCTACCAAGCATGGTCTTGTCTTACCAAGTCAAGGTATTCATGAAGGGATCTCATATCTCTACTTCAAGCTATCATAGTTCATACATGCTTTGATTCATTTTAGGTGAGCAAGTTTTTCAACCTAGAATCATTCTATGTGAGAAAACCTTTCACATTATACATTCATGATTCATACATACATAGAGTAGATCATGTGGGTAATTTCTTCCACAACAATTCTATCTACTATAACATGCATATATATAAGCTTTACTCTCAAATCTCTAATCATCATAATTCATCAAGTAAGCTTTACTCTCAAAGTCATACCAGTCATAACTCATCATATTAGCTTTACTCTAAAAGCCCTACTAATCATCATTCATCATACATGCCTTAGTCTCAAGACAATCCTAATCTCAAAGATTACAAGTCATAATTCATCATATATACTTGATCTCAATCAATTCATGTCTATATGATTTACTCTTAAGCACTTCATGTCTATATGCTTCAATCTCAAGCAATCTATAATATATCTCATCAATTCTAGAATAATACATCTAAATCCTCAATTTCCCCTTTCATGGCATAAGACCCATTTATATCAATTTCATCTTTCTAGACATGGGTTAGGCATGGGTACATGTAAATTCATCCTATAAACATGTAATTCTATCAATTCAATCATAAACAATCATAATCGACTCAATTGGATCAAAGCCCATAACATTAGAAGAAACCCTAACTAGAATTGGGGAATTCTTCTTCTAAATTGGGGAAATCATAAGGACTCCATGGAAGAAAGGATTCCATGGATGAAAAGCCATCATACCTTAATCAAAAATCCCACAGTTGCTAGAGGATTGGAGACTTGAGCTTGATCTTAGCTTGAACTTCTTTCTTCTCCTTCAAGTTCTAGAGAGAAATATTTGAGAGGAAGATCTTGGGTTTTCTTTTGGTTCTTGAAAGAATGAGTTAAGTTAGAGGGGGGGGGGGAGGGGGGGATTTTGGGAATAGAATGCTTATATACTTTTCTAGGTGAAGGGTAAAACGACGTAGTATAACTTTAAGAAAACTATAAAAAGACACTAAGGACCCCAACTTATTTCTAAGGCTGCTGCACGTTGAGGCTCGCCCAAGGGCACTTGGCGACTCGCCAAGTGAGCCTTTGGCGACTCGCCAAGTGAGCCCTTGGCTCGCCTAATTTTCCAGTACCTTGGGCAATGGGGATAGTCCACTAGGCGATGGTGACTCCATTTGGCTAATCGCCAAGTCTCTCGGCGATGGAGCTTCACCTCGCCAAGTTGGCTAAAGGAGTAAATGTTTTCCTTAACAAATCGGAGGCGTTACAAGAAACTAGGTAAGTTACTATTGTACTCTTATCTAATGTATTCTTAAATTCAAGATTTGAATAAATGAACATGAATTAATTTATTTTATTAATTAATTTGACCAATGAACATGAATTGACTATTTAGTCTTCTTATATTGATCAAATGCATATTTTCAAGGCTAATAACTCTAATAAGTAAAAGAAGGAGAAAAAAGGTTATTTTATGCATTGTTTTTGTGAAATGACCAAAAATGAATTTTTATATCAAGTGAGCCTGTAATTAAAAAAGAAAGTAAAAATAAAAAAGAAAGAAGCTAAACTTAAGTAATTTGGAAAAGAAAAATATGCATGTATTTTTGGGAACAAACTTAAATAAAACTTGATGTTACAAAGTGGATTTGATGATTTTGATCAATTTGGGTATAGCAAAAGAGTTTGAATGTTTGATTCCCAAAATAAAAATCATCTTTTTCCCCCAAATCTCATTTTTCAAGAAGAAAACTATATAAAGAAATGAATCATATTTATCATCACCCGATTCTCTGACGCGCCCAACTCTTACGTGTAGGCCACGACCCAATCAGCATTCAGGCATTGTGGGCCCCGCGTCGTTCTGAAGGCCACCTCCCTCATTGGTATCCGCCGTTGAATTGAGAAAATTTGCCCTAGTCATCTGGGAAACTCCTCTATATTCCACCATGAACCACCGTTCGCGATTCCGATCACCTCCGTCTATCTCGATTCTACATCTTCTAATCGGCTGCGATCGTCATTCTCTTTCAGATCTGACGATTTTGTAATTTGTAAGGTGAGAATAGTTCAATCCATAGCTCTCTTTTACATCTTTCTTTTTCGATTGATATGTAATTGTTTGCGTATTTGTATGTTCGTCTGAAGCATTTTTGACTTGTATAATGAGGTGGTAGAACTGCTTACTTACTGTAGTTTAGGTGTTGGAAGTGTGAAAATAGTCGCTTTGCTGAAACGCAAGTCGAATGTTGTGAGTTGCGAGTTGCGAGTTGCGAGTTGCGAGTTGCGAGTTGCTAGGTTGTGAGTTCGAGTCATCAAAGAAGTAAAAAGGATGTTAGCTCATAGGGATGTTGTCTACTTGTTTTATGACATGGATGGTCATAAATTTAAGCTGTTAAAATAGGCTCTAAGCTGGAATGGAAGGAGAATGTTGTGTACTAGGCTAGGTATTTTAACTTTCCCCTATTCCACACTAGTCCGGGAGAACTTAGTGCAGGTGGTCTATTGTTTTTTTTGTCACTTGAATGTTTGTGGGTTCTGCGGTTTGAAAATATTCTCTTTGGATAAATGCGAGGGAAATGTTTCCTACTATATATATCCACAGCCAACCTCCTCTACCCTGGATTAGTTCGGGGATGGGGGATTTACTGCAGAGTGTCAGCCATTTTACTTATGACATGGATGGTGGTGTGGGAATAGTCTCCTTGTAGAAGTGCAGAGGGGATGTTGCCTACTAGATATGTTCACTGTCCCATACGCTGCATTAGTCGTGGAGCATTTAGTGCATTGCATCGGGCCTTTAATTTGTTAGATAGTCAGCAAGCCAATGTGTGGAAACAGTCTCCTTGCTGAAATGCTAGGGGAATAATGGGTATTACAGAAATCCCCTCTCCCTGTGTCGTGCTTGTCTGGGAGCATTTAGTGCTCAGTGTCAGCCATTTTATCTATGACTTGGATATTGAATTTGAGGTTTTGTAGGGTTAGCATGGAACCTATGGACATTGTCGGTAGAACGAAGGAGGATGCTTCACTTCCCAAAGGTTTTTTTTCTTCCTCCCTATTCTGTGATCTATTTTGCCTTTGCATTATTGTGTTTCAGAATTACCCTTCGGGGTGGCCCAGTGGTTTGGGCTTGGGACTTCCATGTTGGAGGTCTCAAGTTCGAAACCCCTTGCCAGCAAAAGCAAGGGGTTTGCCTTCTGGGTCGACCTCGTCGCATCGGGCTTGTCTAGTGCGGATTACCTCTCCTATGTAGCATAGGAGCAGGGGTTTTACCCTGTGCGCACCCAAAGGGTAGCAGCTGCGGGTTTCCCTAACCCCTTGCCAGCAAAAGCAAGGGGTTTGCCTTCTGGGTCGACCTCGTCGCATCGGGCTTGTCTAGTGCGGATTACCTCTCCTATGTAGCATAGGAGCAGGGGTTTTACCCTGTGCGCACCCAAAGGGTAGCAACTGCGGGTTTCCCTTGTCATCAAAAAAAATTATTGTGTTTTAGAATTGATTTATACACCCTGTGTTTTCATCGTGATTCTACTTTCATGGATTTTGCTGATGAATTTTCCTGTAATTTCTGTTTCAAACCTTGTAACCTTGATATGAAGAAAGGTCAAGAATTGAGTATTGGAATGAAACAACTTCAAATGGAGTGGAATGTATATTGAGGGTTCATATAGCTGTGCCTAAACTAGTTTGGGATTTAGCATAGTTTGTAATTGAAGAGCTTTTGAGTAGATGAATATAATGTCAGTTAAGGTTGATGATTAAGTGCCTGTGTGGAAGGTATTAGGGTGACTAAATGCAAATATTGTTGCATGCCTTTGTGACTTTTATGATCCATGAGAGATTTTTTATTTTTGTGAAATCTTAGAGATGCATTTAATTCATTGTGAAGAGGGTATTGACTTGCATTGACTGAAGTAGTTAACATGTATGGCCTCTCCGTGAACTGCTGGTGGCAAGTAAATGTAAGAAATTTGAAACAGCACATGTTGATGTCCATTCTTTTGCCCAGATTTGTTTGCAAGAAATTTATTCCGTTCCATTTGACGGAAAAATAGACGAATTGTATAATAGCTGGACCTTCCTATATTTGCCTGAGGATAGGGTGATCAGTCCTACTCCTGATGTAGACGAGTGTTAAAGCTAGAGTAGAGTCGTGTTTAGCCTTGTTTCCTCAAATATTGTTGAACTTTCTTCTTAGCTGAATGGTTGTGAAGACATTGTATAATGTATTCTCAGCACTTGGGGGTATCTGTGTCGTAGTTGAATTCAGAGTCGAGAAATGGTTGAGCAGTTAACACTTCCTTAATTATAGGATCAGTTTGGTAACTTATCATTTCTTGTATGTTTTAACTTCTCTAGCTTTGCTTATACTTGATATGCATAATTTCTGAAGTTCTGTTACCCCAGAGCAAGATAATAGAGTATTACTTTTCTTTCCCTCTCTTGTGCATCCTACAACATAGTATGCCCTCTTCAAATTTTGTCAGGAAGATGAGATTGATGATCTCAATTGCGAACAATGGTATTATTGGAATTATTAATGCTTCTTCTGGGTTCACCTTATTCTTTGAGGCTCATTTAGTTTTTGGCAGACTTTGTTATAAAGTTAGATGAATGAGCTTGGTTGATGTGTTACTTCTTTAATTGATATATTCTTTGGCTGACTGATACTGCTGTTATTTTTTTTCAGCAACTATGACAAAAATTATTAAAGAAATGTTGCCCCCAGATGTCCGTGTTGCTCGAGATACTCAGGATCTTTTGATTGATTGTTGTGTAGGTGAGTTGATTTTGATACGTATAATTTAATTTCTGGGTTCAATTCGTAAGTGTTTTGATGTGACGTTACTATTGTTAGTGGTGGTTGCGTGTAATAGCAAGTGGTTTTCTGTATAGTTTTAAGGGGAATAAGTAACATGACTAGAATCAATATTTCTATTGAAGGATTATGGATTGAAAGGGAAAGCGAGTTTAAAAGTTGTCGTCTAGTCAGATATTTTATGGTGAATGTAGTAAGGAGAGTATGTTGCAAGTGCATGGTAGTGACTAATGGGCACAAAATATGTTTTAAGACATTATGTTGGTTAATATATCAAAAGAAGCTGATTTAACACATTTGGAGTTTTTTCTAAGAGAACTAGTGATAACCAGAGGGAAAGTTACTAGATAAAATTGAAATCACTCAGTTATACTAACCTGTCAGTTTTCACTGTTCTCCTTGTTTAGTCAAGGTCTATTATGGGATGAATAGAAACATGATGTAATAACTTGTTGTCTCTGGGCTATTATTTTCATAGATGTTTTGACTGGTAGCATGTCTCTGCTGCTTGAAAGGATTATAGTCTCTTTTCCTTCTGGTTCTTCCCTCTATAGATAATTGAGTGATAATTGAGTGTTATCTATTGACAAACCATGATTAGATAACAAACAAATTGATTCAATTAGTATATCAATCATCTTTGTACTATGGTGCTCATTTTAATTTGCAATAATTTTTGGTATGTTCTGTTCTTCTGCAGAGTTCATTAATCTAATCTCATCAGAATCAAATGAAGTTTGTAATAGAGAAGAGAGACGGACAATTGCACCAGAACATGTACTAAAGGCTTTGGAGGTACTAAACTTGATCTTACAATTTTTATCTGATGTTATCTTTTTCATGTTGTTGATGTCTTGCAGTTTTCTGCAGCCTATCACTTTTATAGTTTGCTATGTATGAGTTTACTTTGAGGAGATGATACAACGCATTTAAAACCTAGTATTTTACCTTTGAGGTGACAATAGAGTGGGGAGGACACAAAATCTGGTTTTCCTTTGAGGTGTGATATTGGGGTACATATATGATCAACAAATGCAAATGGTCTACATAATTTAGACTGATGTCCACATAAAATCTTGTTTTGTTTTATCTATAGTTCTCAAGGAATGAATATTAACCATGGAGATCAACTGAAACAGTTTTTAAGTTGTATAGTATTTTCACTGTTATTTTCATCGACAACCAAGAACTTTTAATCAATTAATATCTTTTAGGTAATCTTTATGTAAGCATGTGAAAGCTTTTAATATCTTTAGATTGAGAGTGAATGAACTGATTTGCTAATCATAACATGCTGATAATTATTTGCAATTGACATTCACAACTTATATTAATTGATGATTTCTCAGGTTCTTGGCTTTGGGGAATATATTGAAGAAGTTTATGCTGCATATGAACAACACAGACTAGAGACTGTGGTAACTGCTCATTTTGTGTCTTTCTCTCATTTGTTTAACCTGTTATGTAGGTTGTTTCAACGACTTCCTGTTGAATAGCCAGACTTATTCATTGACGAAAAAGAGCTAGACTTATCCATCTATTGAGCCGCAGTCTCTTTTTATTTCCATGGAGTCATCATCATAGTGTTATCTTCTTCTTTTTTTGTATTGTCCAAATCAGTTTCTCATTTTCACCATCACTCTGTGTACCCATGCATAAACCTTGTCCGAGTAAAGTAGCTTTTCAAAAAAAGTAAATAGTCTGATTAATGTGGTGCCTTGTATTTCACCGACAGGACACAGTGAGAGCAGGGAAGTGCAGCAATGTCGCTGAAATGACTGAAGAAGAAGCACTAGCCGAGCAACAGAGGATGTTTGCTGAGGCTCGTGCTAGGATGAATGGCGGTGTTACAGTTCCCTCAAAACAGCCTGATTCAGAAGTGGACCAAAACTTGAATAACTAATTTTAGGACTTCCTTGTTTTCTGTAGGCAAAGTACATTTGACTCTTTTTTTTTTATAAGTAGTTTTGCTTTTGTGTTATGTACAAAAAGCTCCTGCCAGTGCTAGTTATGTGGACTCTCCTTTAATTTGTACTTGTCTCCATATATTGTGTAATTAATGAGAAGAATTATCTACATTCTTCAAGTGTTCGTCACTGTGGGCCTGTTTGAATGGACTTAAAAAAAAGTAGGGAACTTTCGCATATAGTCACGCAAAAATAGCTTAATTACGCTCCATAGCTATAGTTTGCTAATTATGATTCATAGCTACATGTAATAGGGAGGAGAGTGACGAGCGAGATTGGGAGAGGGAGGAGAGAGGTGAATTGTGTATGTATATCAGTTAGATAATTGTATATATGTAACTGGTATACATATGTATTTTGTATATCTGGCGAGCGAGATTGGGAGATGGAGGAGAGAGGCAAGCGAGAGAGGGCAATAATATGTATAATTCGCGGGTACATTTGTATAATTCGCAATTTTTTTGTATAATTGAGTAATACAAAGTTTGAAATTATACAAATATGATAAAACTCGAAATAACGAATTGATACAAACATGAACATATGAACTTTAAACAACTATATAAATTATATTATACAAATTACATTAAAACATATTTTCCTATCCACAAGTGTTTTAAAAGAACAAGAAACAAATTGTGTACCCCCATTTGGATTAGTAAACATTACAAGGAGAGGATTATGAGTGAGTCTACCATCAAACTACATCAGATTCAATCTTGATACAAAAGCAGTATGGTTTGTATATTAGTAAGACAAGTTGTAGAAAGGAAAAGCTAAGAGTTATGAATGAATATTTGGGAGATTTCAGAGAGGAATTTGCTAGGTTGTATGATTATGCTGAGGAATTAAAGACCACAAATCTTGGAACTACTGTATCTATTAGGATATCCAAGAACACAATTCCAGGAAAAGTGTTTATGAGCATCTATATTTGTCTTGGATGGAAAGAAGGGTGTAGAAGGATTATTGGTTTAGATGGTGCATTTCTCAAAAGTGTGTAAAGGTGAATTGTTATCTTGCATTTTCAAAGATGGAAATAACCAAATGTACCCTATTGCATGGGCAGTAGTTGATAAAGAAACCAAGGACACATGGTCTTGGTTTCTCAAGTGCATCAAACATGATTTGGATCTTACAGAAGGTGAAGGACTAACAGTGATGAGTGATGTCTGATATGCGGAAGGTATTACTATATTATTTGTTAAATTTATTATTTAATTTCTGGAGTAATTGATATTTAACATTGTTGTATGTCAAATGTTGTTTGTTTGACAGGGTCTTCATCTTGCACTTATTGAATTATTGCCAACTGCTGAAATTAGATGGAGTGTTAGGCATATATGGGAAAATCGGAAGAAAGACTGGATAGGTGAAGAAAGGAGAAGAAAATTCTAGCAGGTTGCCACGGCATCATTTGAGGTACTTTTACAGGTAAAACTTGATGACATGAGTCGGTTAGGAGAAGGCATTGTAGAAGCTTTGTTAAAGTATAACAAAGAAGCATGGTGTAGGGCATTTTTTAAAGAGCATAGCAAGTGTGATGTGGTTGAGAACAACATGTGTAAGACTTTCAACAGTTGAATTTTAGATGCTAGGTTCAAATCAATAACCACTATGCTAGAGGAAATAAGGGTCAAAGTTATGAAAAGAATGAATCAAATGAGACAATTTTCAAAAAAATGGATTACTGATGTATCACCAACGGCTATGGATATTCTTAGAAAAAATGCTGAAATTGCAGATAATTGTGAGGTAAAGTTTAATGGTGATCTTGGCTTTGAGATTCATGATCCACCATATAAACATGTTGTTGATCTAAAAAAGAAGGTGTGTAGTTGTAGGTCATGGCAACTAAAGGGAATTCCTTATGGCCATGCACTTACAACAATTCATTATAAGGATTGGGTTGATGAGTCATTTGTTGATCACTGGTATAAGAAGGCAACATACCTGAAAGCATATAATAGGTTTATTCAACTATGACAAACACGAAGATGTGGCCAAAAAGTACAAGACCAGCCATTGAACCACCTGAAATTACTTTCATGCTAGGAAGACCACGAAAAAATAGGAGAAAAGATAGTGATGAGCCTGTTAAGAAGAAGTTTGGAAAGGCTATAAGGAAGGGAAGAAAAATGAAATGTTATGTGTGTAAGATTTTTGGACATAACAAGAAAGGATGTCCAACTCTGGTAAGTTGTGCTTTAATGTCTCTCTATTACTGAATTTTATTCTTGTTATACTTTTGACTTTCATAGATGTTTGTAGAAAAATGTTGGAACTTCATATGCTGGAACTTCAAATGCTGGAATTTCAAATGCTAGAACTTCAAATGCTAGAACTTCAACTGCTGGAACAAGTGCTGCAACTGCTGGAACAAGTGTTGCAACTGCTGGAACAAATGCTGTAACTTCAGATTTTACAAATGCTACAATTGGAAGCCAATCTAAATGCAGGTCCAAGTGCTAGAAGGCCTACAAATGCTTCACCAAGTGGTGTGAGGCCTGCAACTGCCTTAGCATCTGGTGGAAGGCCTACCAGTGCTACATCAAGTGCTATATCAAGTGATGTAAAGCCTGCAACTACCTCAACATTTTGTAGAAGGCCTACAACAACTCCATTAAGTACTCAACAATCAACTTCTAGTGCAACTGGCTAAAAAATAAAGACTAGCACAACTTTGAGAGGTGGTACAACTCTTGGATATAAGAGACCAAGACAAAAAAAAAAGCAAAGACAGCTGGTTATGGTCTCTTATTTAAACACATTTAATTGCTTTAATTGATATTAATTCATCTTTAAGTTAAGATTTTTGTTGTTCTCTCAATCTGGAAATACTGATAGAGTGTTACATAGTGCTACATTGTCAAGTTTAACTCCTACCAATATTGATCTTGGTTACAAATCCAATGGACTAAGGTGGAAGGGAAGAGCTACAGTTACTCAAAGGCAGCTACAAGAGGAGAGTTACAGAAGCACTCAAGGCACAACAGACACTCATGCCACACCAAGCACTCAAGGTACACATTAGATTTCACTTTGTTTAGCTTAATGGCTTGATCCCAACTAACTTTATTTTGATTAATGACTTGATCCCAACTGTTTTGGTTCTGCTATTAGGAAGACTTTGTTTTTGTATATGAATTTGTGTTAAGTTGCTATTGGGAAGACTTTGTTTTTTCGTATGAATTTGTGTTTGAATGAAGTTGCTATTCAGCTTTCTGAAGCAAATGCAGTCAACTATTGAGGCCAATGTCTTTGTTATTCCATTTCATTATCAAATAACAGCTAGTACAAATCAATATATCTTAAAAATAACAGCTAGAAACCAAATAACAACAGTCATAATAACAGTGATATCAATACTAGTGTTTGATCCTTGTCTTCCTTGCCTTCTATGTCTTTCTTGTCTTCTATTTCTTGCTTGTATTACTTGTCTTCCTTTCCCTGAAATTGTTGATGGATTCTTGATGTTGTATTGTTCTTGGCATGTTGAATCATTTGCATCAGCCCATCGGAAGAATTCACACCCATTATCGGATGAATATTTTTGGCAACCCCAAAACATTCTTCCAGGATTAGTTGGTGTTCTTGATGACTTTAGTTCAACATATATTTCACAGTAGCAACATCGAACCGTCATCGTGAAGATCAACGAAATCAAACCAACAAAAATACAATAGAATCACACACAAAAAAGAGATGAGTAAATCAAAGGAAAAAAATTGAAGAGACAAGATCGAGAAAAAGAGGAGAAAAAAGCTCAAATTTGTCCAACAATGGTGTTGAGTGAAAATAAGGAAGAAGAGATTGTCTTTGAAGGTCAAAATCTGACCGTTATTGCCTTTTGAAGGTGTCTCACGCTCTTGTTTTGTATGTTTCACACGCTCCTTGTGGATTCTTTCCACATAGGATGTCACATCAAAAATTGTTTTTTTAAAATGTCGTGTTTGGATGAGTTCAGGGGTCCAGATGACAAAAGGGTAAGTAGAAGGGGAGATGAGTAAATCAAAGGAAAAAAATTGAAGAGACAAGATCGAGAAAAAGAGGAGAAAAAAGCTCAAATTTGTCCAACAATGGTGTTGAGTGAAAATAAGGAAGAAGAGATTGTCTTTGAAGGTCAAAATCTGACCGTTATTGCCTTTTGAAGGTGTCTCACGCTCTTGTTTTGTATGTTTCACACGCTCCTTGTGGATTCTTTCCACATAGGATGTCACATCAAAAATTGTTTTTTTTAAAATGTCGTGTTTGGATGAGTTCAGGGGTCCAGATGACAAAAGGGTAAGTAGAAGGGTCCACAATACAAATATATAGAAGTATAAGGGTCCACCAAACCATTTCACCTTTTCTTTATTTATAAGATAGTGTTCAACCTATTTTTGTGCTACTGTTTTGAGTGACAAATACGGATGACAAATTATAACAAGAGAGAAAAAAGGAACAACCGAAGTAAAAGAAATAGAGAGAGAAAAACTAAAAAAAAAATTCATTTTCCAAGAAAAAAAATGTGACTATTATGTCAAATAAATATATAAAAATACTTAATTGCTAACAAATTTAAAATGAGCTATTTATTGTCAATTAAGTCTATAGGTTGATATGTTATGCCAATTTTTCAAAAGGTTATTAGTTTACAAAAAATATAACCAAGAAAATAATAAGATGAAATATAGCCAAATTAGCTATTTAGCCTCGATTTATGACTATTTAGCCACAGTTTAAAACATTATTTTTAGTTTTTATTAACACGGTCTACTTTTATTTTTTATTAGCTACGATTTGATCGTGGCTAAATAACTAACTTTCACGTTTCTTGTAAGTGTCAAATTTCATCGTCAACTGTCAGAGGCGGGTCACAGACAAACCTTATATATACATTCCTCGCATATGTGTCCACATAGCATGGGCATTAGAAAATTTTCCACATTTATGTATGAAGTTATCAACCACATAACTAACTATTATTCCACGTTCAAGGGAATTCGCTCTTTTTCAAGCATTATAAGCTTCAAGATCCCTTATGTGTTGTGTAATGTTACCTTCTTTTGTTGATTCAAAACATGATTTATACCTTCAAGAGCATTTTTATCTTCCAGTGCATATCATATTT